TATTTCTAATTAACCTAATCATATCACTGAGCGACAAAGAGATGGACAGGCTTGTGGTCCACCCCCTGGTTCTTCCTGAAGTTTCTCAAATTCTTATCTCCCTTCTTGGGCACTGGATTCAAGTAATGGATACTGTATTCAAGTAACGTTTGCCAGCGGCACCATGTTAACTGCCAATTAATTGGATGCTTGCCTATCACTTAAGGACCTTTTAAATTCCTTATTAACCTCATTGCAGGAAAAACAAAAGAATATTGATTATTACTAACTGTTATAATATCAGTTCCAACAAAGTTATGTGGTTACGCCTAATGTTAGAATTCTTTAGCTAACAAGTTGTGTCTTAATATGCTCATTCAATCCACATTCCAATGTCTGCTAATTTCTGTGCCTCTGATTCATTTCTCCCAGTAATGATATATGGGCTGCTTTTATTGTCTGAAATTGGTTTGAGTCTTTTCCTCGAATGCTTTTAGTGATTTGCATAACTACTTCGGAATCTACATCTATGATTATCTGAAGAATTTTAACTAAAACCTACTCTTAATATTGTAACAGATTGATTGATTGATTAATTAATTCAAAGAAACAACTTTATTAGTGTGAAATGTTTTTATCTATGTCTTATGCATAAGCAACAGCAGCTGCACATCCTATTTCAATCCAGTAACCTTGATTATACAGAGCTACTATTGTTCTACTTGTGAAGACTAATTAAGCAAATTTTTTCTCAAGCACTCTAACTACGGTCAGCCATGTTCTGCTGCATTAGATTTGGCCAGCTGTCAGCCATTTTGTGCTGCTCAGACATGGGCAGCCTTAACATGATGCTTTACGGTTACAATCAGATCAGCCATAACACTAATCCTAAACCTAAATCTATCGCAGGAAAGTACAGGCTAGTATTTGACATATATGGGACAACATTCCTACCCCTGTCGTTGAAAGCTGGGATTAAAACAAAATTATCCAAACAGCGAAATTGTGCAGCTTAAAATTACTAGAGCAAGATTATTTACAGAAAACATAGAGTCATAGAGTCTTACATCATAGAAACAGACTCTTCGGTCCAACCAGTCCATGCCAAACATAATTCCAAACTAAACTAGTCCCATCTGCCTGCTCCTGGCCTACATCCCTCCAAATCTTTCCTATTCATATACTTATTCGAATGTCTTTTAAATGTTGTAATTGTACCCGCATCCACCACTTCCTCAGGAAGTTCACTCCACACACGAACCACCCTATGTGTAAAAAATTTGCCTCTTATGTTTTTTTTAAATCTCTCTCCTCTCGCCTTAAAAATGTGTCCCCAGTCTTGAAATCCCCCAAGCTAAGGAAAAGAAAACTCCCATCAACTCTATCTATACCCCTTGTTATTTTATAAACTTCTGTCAGATTGCCTCTCAACTGCCTATGCTCCAGTGAAAAACGTTCCAGCCTATCCAGGCTTTCTTCATAACTCAAAACTTCTATACCCAGCAATATCTTGGTAAATCTTTTCTGAACCCTCTCCAGCTTGATAATATCCTTCCTATAACTGGGTGACCAGAACTGGACACAGTATTCCAGAAGAGGACTCGCCAATGCCCGGTATAACCTCAATATGACTTCTGAACTCTGATGCTTCAGGGAAAGTCCTTTGAGTATAAGAGGCTGAGGGGTGACCTTAAAGTGGTTTATAAAATCATGACGGGCATCAATAAACAGGCAAAGTCTTTTCCCTGGGGTGGGGGTGCCCAAAACTACAGGGCATAGGTTTAAGGTGAGAGGGGAAAGATATAAAAGGGAACTAAGGGCCAACTTTTTCACACAGAGGGTGGTATATGTATGGAATGAGCTGCCAGAGGAAGTGGTGGAGGCTGGTATGATGACTACATTTAAAAGACATCTGGATGGGTAGATGAATAGGAAGGATTTAGAGGGATATGGGCCAAATGCTGGCAAACGGGACTGGATTTATACAGAATATCTGGTTGGCATGGATGAGTTGAACCGAAGGGTCTGTTTCTGTGCCTAATATCTCTATGACTCTACGACTGAGCAATGAAGACAAGCGTGCCAAATGCCTTTTTAACCACCCTGTCTATTTGTGATGCAAACTTCATCCCTAGGTCCCTCTGTTCTACAACATTACCGAAGGCTGTACCATTAATTTATAAGCCCTACCCTTGTTTGTTGCACCAAAATGCAATACCTCACATTTATCCAGATTGAACTCCATCTGCCATTTTTCAGCCCATTGACCCATGTGATTAAGATCCCTTTGTAATCTTAGAAAACATTCACAGTCTACTGTGCCACCAGTTTTGGTGTCATTCACAAACTTACTAACTGTGCCTTCTATATTCTCATCCAAATCATTTATATAAATGACAAACAGAAGAAGGCCCAGAACTGATTCCCGTGGAACACCGCTGGTCACAGGCCTCCAGTCCGAAAAGCAACACTCCACTACTACTCTCTGTCTCCTGCCGTTAAGCCAATTATGTATCCAATTGGCAAACTTACCCTGAATCCTAACTTTACTAATTAGTCTACCATGAGGATCCTTGTCAAAGGCTTTACTAAAATCCAAATAAACTATATCTACTGCTCTGCCATCAACAGTCTGTTTGGTAACTTCCTCAAAAATCTTTATCAAGTTTGTGAGTCATGATTTTCCTTGCACAAAACTGTGCTGACTATCTGTAATTAGGTGTAGAGCTGGATGAACACAGCAGGCCAAGCAGCATCAGAGGAGCAGGAAAGCTGACGTTTCAGGTCGAGACCCTTCTTCAGAAAAAAACTATCTCTGACTATCTGTAATCAATTTTTGCCTCTCCAAATGTCCATAAATCCAATCTTTTATAATCACCTCCAACAATTTACCAACAACCAAAGCCAGACTAGGCACAAGTCTTCTGCAAACCACCTGTCACTATTTGGAATGCCCTTCTGCTCAAATATTTTGTCCAACTCTGACGCTGCTCTTTATTTCCTCCTAGATCTTAGGAACCTGGTTGTTTCATCAATGTAAAGCACAATGTGTAATGTCAGGGAGAAGACTGGACACATCCTCTTTCTATGGCAGTAGCTACCATATGGCAAGTATAAATCTCCAATGTGAACATTAGTGAATGAATGAATGAAAGGGTAGGGTAGGTGGTTGGATGAGGTAAGTAGATATGGTGGCAAGTCAATAGGATAAGTGCGGTGGGTAGATAAGAAGGAGGTATAGTCAGGTCTGCCTGGTCAGAGGTCAGTGTGGACAGGGAAAGGGGTAATTAGGATATGTGAGGGCACTGGAGAGATCCAAGAATGAGTAGGGGTTCATGTCAGTATGAGTGATTGGGAGTCTGTTCAGTCATTACCCTGGGGTTAGACTAGAATTTTTCTGCCTAGCCCTTCCTGAGTAACTATCCACATAAGTAATTTGGAACTATCCAAAGTCTCCAACTCTAACTTGGATTTGGATACTTTTGCAGATGTTCCTGGGGAGCAGGGAATTGTTTGTTAGAAGTTCAGACATCCTGATCAATTTCTAAGCAAGTCATGATGTGCAGTTTGGAGCTGATGTCCAGTTTATGACAATCTAGAGACATGACAATCTCAGCCATAATGTAGATCAGCAAAAGATGGATTAGCAAATTGAGTAGCAACAACTAAAATATGAAATTAGAATTAATTCACAAAAAAATCATATATAAAGAGAAAAAAAAGAATCATAGATCTAGCAGTAAAGTTTGTAGGTGGCTTTCAATGCATGGACAATTGACATTGTTGACATCACTCAGTGGGGTGCTTGGGTTTCATGGGGTGAAACAACTTTGGAAAAAAGGAAGAGAGCTCTACTGCAGCATTTCGTGTTATTTTGCATTTGATGTAAAATTTTGGGGAGACAAGTGAGGGAAGGCTCAGTACAATATTTGTGTGAGAGTCCTGAATCACAACCACAAGCATTACCGTCATCAGACAACCCTTATCAATCAGTAATCATACTTTGAGTTTTTATGGTGATTCAACAAACATTGCCCAGAGAACTGTTACAGCATGAAGGAATTGTGACCACCGTCAATATACCAGTCGTGATCCCGTGCCTGTGAAGACACATAGAATCCTAATCAGTTTGTAACTTGATACGTTTGCTTGGTGCCTGAATGGAGTTGACCCCAACCGAGTGTTGCAGACTGGCACATTCCAAGGTCCAGGACTACGTGCTGAGGGATGCAGTAAAGCTTGGGGCAGCCGCTGCCAAGGTGCAGTGGGGAAAGACCACAATCTGAGGTCTTCCTGCTGAAGGTAAATGGGGGTCTGTTTAGTTATTGGACTCAGCTCATGCCTCAAATATATGTAAATATTAGTATTATGTGTAAGAGAAGTCTTTGGTTTTTTGGATAGAGTCAAAGTCCAATGTTCATACTTGATATGCAACTGTATAGAATCAAACTGCTTTTGTGACAATGTATACGTATAAAAAGAATAAAGTATATTTTGAAATAAAATCTAAGCTTGTTTGATGCCTGCAGTCAGTGACATCCAATAGCATTGAAAGAGGCTGCAATGTGTCGACGCTGATGCTTGCTTTGCAAGCTTATCTCTGGGAAGAGGGAATGAAGGACAGCTTTCTCTTTCTACTGAAAGCCTGAGTGACCTCCCTTGTGCAGCAGTTTACTGCAAACAGTGAGACATTGCTTATACCTCCAGCATCTTTTCTATTACTTTCCCAAAATTGAACAAATTGTGGTGTGCTGTACATTGGATTGCATAAATAAATTTGCGTGACTGAATGGAATTGAGTGGTCTCCATTTGAACCGTTGCACACTGTCGGAGTCTCAAAAGTCCCAAGACTATCTGTGAATGTGCTACGTTTCTATTCCTGACACCAAATATTCTATGTATTCCTTGAGAGAGATTATCAATTTAATGTCAACAGGAAAGAACACATTGTTTTAATGCCTAGATTTTAGCAGTAATCCTTCCTTGTATTCCAGTCCCAGAGAAAATTGCATTCAAACAATCAGCAAATATTGGAGTAGATTTTATTGTAATCAGAAGCATTTTAATTATTTTTAAACACAGAATGAAACACCATTTTTGGAAATAGCCAGGCATGTAGCTCTTGTTACATTTTTGCATATTATTTGTAATTTTCAATCCAGAGTCTTATTCCTGTCATTTATGGTGACAAAAAATAAATAAAGTAACAGAGCATTTCAAATGTGTTAAAACATTGTTATAAATGCCGTAAGAAAATCTGTAACTTCTCAGAATATATCAGAAGTTGTACAACACCAGGTTTTTATCAACAGGTTTATTTGAAATCACAAGTTTTTGGAGTGCTGCTCCTTCATCAGGCGAGGAGGACTTGGAGTAAAACCTGGTGTCATATGACTTCTAACTTTGTCCACCCCAGTCCAACACCGGCATCGCCACATCTCAGAATATGGATCTAGACTGGTCGAAACCTGAGAGTAACCTTTGGCATATTTGTGACGATTTCTAGACTTTTAAGCAATATAGTTACAGTCAAGTGCCAGTCAAGTGCCAGGTTTAGCTTCACTTTACTGTAAATCTGGCATTTCACACAGAAACTCAGCTCCCCAAAAGAAAATATAGATCAATACCGATCCGCAAGAAACATCTATCCCAAGCTGAAGGATCACCAGGAATGTGTCACCTTTCATCTACTTGTGTAAGTATGCCCGCCTACACACATCGTTAGGTTTGATAAGAATCTGAGAAGACTTGCAGTTATTGGTGCACAAACTGTACCAATAAATATAACGTGCATTTAAGTTAACCCGGAAACAGCCATTATACCAGAAGGCTCCCCTGCTACTTTGTGCACAGTTTGATCTTGACCTATCCTGGTCTCGGTCAAATGTTGAAAATTTCATGTTATCATGAACAGTAGTGCTCCCAGTTAATACCATTGAATTGCCTGCATTCCCTGTGTATCTACCTAAGTTCAGCCTGTAACCACTTGTTTCATTCCCTATAGAGAACAGATCATAATCAGCAAAACGTTGCTTATTTCTCCTGTCCCTCAGCAAGAATTTTATTTTGTAGGTTCCCTGACGTATGATGTTATATATATATTCATTTCCCAACCAGTGATCCTGAAGGATGTTGCCAAAACCAAACTTGTAAGCTGTCCAGTATTCTGTCCAGGTAATTTTAGAAGGAAAAGTATTCTTTTGAATCATAGTCCATCCACCACCATCTGTCCTCATGTCACAATACACAACAACTGGAATGGAACCGGTAGGCTGGATAACGTAAACGCCATTTCGACCCCTGACATTGCTGCAATCCTTGGGATAACCTGCAATATAGAAGATTGTTTTGTTGATTTGATCATGAGATGACAATTGAGGAGTTAGTGTATAGAAGGTCAGGGCAAAGGAAAGTGGATGAATGCAGGAGGAGAAGAGATGAGTAAAGAGGATAAGAGATGGAGAAAAAAGAAGGAAACTATCAAGAGAGAAAAGGACAAAATGTGGATGGGATAAATGAAAGGGACTGAAGGAATGGGTCAAGTAAGGAGCTAGGAGTCAAGAGGAAAGAGAGTGAAGGGGAGTGGTAAGAAAGAGAGTAGTGGAATGGATAGAAGTGTGAAGCTGGAGATGACAGGCAGAATGTAATAAGGAGAAAAAAGACAAAGCAGGGCAGAAGCTGAGAAAAAGAACCAAATGTGGAAGAGGTGTACCTCAGATGAGGAAGATGAGGCAGACAGCTGTAGGAAGGAAATTCTAGATCTTGGCACTGTTAAAACAAAGGCTGCCCAAGAGGCCAAATTAAGGGGAACATTGATGCAAATTTTAAAATCAAGACTTGGTGCATGTTAAGAAAGAGACAGCGGAGTTTTGGATAATTTCCAATTTATGGTGAACACAGCAGCCAGGAGTGCATTGCAACCATCAATTCTAAGGTAACAAAAACATGAATAAGGGTTTCCACTGCAGATCAGTGGAGACAGGGACCAGATCAGACAAAGTTACTGAAGTGAAAATAGACAATCTCAGTGTCATGAGCGTGAATATAAGATTGCAATCTCATATCAAAGTCAGACGTGACATTAATGTTGCAAACACACTGACTTCAGCTTTGATTGTTGTCAGGGACAGGGCTTGAGTCTATTGAGTAAAAAGCTCTTCACAGAGCTTATGGTCATAAGAAAAAATATTGACCTCAAAGACAAACTTATACTAACCAGATATGGGTCTTCTTTGGAGACTTCTTGTGACCCTTTCTTCTGAATCCAACATATGCAGGTTCCCAATTGTAGCTTCACAGTTTACAGCATCCAATGTTAAAAAAATGATTGCAGTCAAGATAGAACCTAAGATTTATAAAACAAACAGCAGTAAAAATAATAAGACAGTTGCAAAAACAAAATGAAGACACAATGTATAAGATTAATGAGAAGGCAAGCAGTTAGGGGGTGACAATGCAAACTTTAGCGAGAGGCATAATGCAAGAAACAGGAAAATATGGCAATAGTGCAAATGTTAGAGTGAGAAAGTCAAGATAAAGCAAGAGAGTGAGACAAACATTACAAGAGTCACAAAGAATATGAAAGTGTAACAGACCAAGAGGGAAAGACACACTTCAAAAGTCAGAGAGAGAGCCAGGCAATATATATTAGAGAGCACATGGGGTGAATTTTCAACTCCAGTAGATATGAATTTAGTGAGATAAGTACTATTGAAATTGCAAACATGACCCCAGCCCTTCTCATCTGCCCATTTTCAGCTTAAACGGAATATAGATTAGGTGCAGCCAACTAACTTGCTTCTTTCAGGCAGGGCAGTTATTTAATAATTATAATAAGGGCATGGACCTTATATTTAACTTGGCTAACAGGCTTAACCGTAACTAGCTGTGTTTCTCAGGAACCCAACAGCTCAAAGGAGAGAAAGACAGCCCTGGAGGAAAACTTTCCCTGAACTCCTTGTGGGCCAGGAGCAGGAAGAGTACTCCATCTTGGCCCACAGTATCTTCTTACCTAGGGCAAACTTCCCTTACACCTATTGGGCATGCAGATCCTGGATGTCAGACACACTTAGATTGGAGATTGACTCCCCTAAAAGAGTCATGAGCAGCTACAGGCTACATTCCTCCAACTGTGGCTTGCTCTGTAGGTTTCTCTGTATTAGAATGTTCTTCTTGAGACTGAGTGAGACATACTCTGGATTGACAAATGGGTGAAAGTATTGTGGGGTAGACAGCTGATTCGAGGCTATATTCAGATCAGCCATGATCTTATCACATGGCAGAGAAGGCATACAGGGCTGAATATCCTAACTCTAATCTTAACTGCAATGTTCATATGTATGTTCATATTAGCCCATCAATCAGATTGACTTCCCAAGTAGAAATCCTATCAAAAGAATATTCATACACAGGCTGGAAGGTCACAGCAAGCCAGGCAGCAAATGGAGGAAAGGAGCAGTCAACGTTTTGGGTATTAACCTTCTTCAGATCTCTCAAAGAATATTCATGTTGTGAATACCATACTTCGTAGTATCTGGGGTAACCTGCATTTCCATTTTAAAAAATCTGCATCCATTAATTATCAGATCATTAGGGTCCTATTGTTTTCCTTGCTGGCAGCCAAGTCAGGGCATTGGTGGTGAGTATTATACAACAGGCTCAAGTCTTTGACTCTTCAAGTATTTACCACACGTGCATGCATTCATAATATGCAACAGCAGTGTTGGTATCCAAACATTTGGCTCAAAGTTTCCAAAGGGATATAGTTATGTTAAGCGAATGGGCACAAAAAATTGGCAAATGGAGTAGAATATGGGAGAGTGACAAGTAGGAAGAATGGGAAAATAAAATTTTATTTATATATACACAATTACCAAAGAATGCTGCAGTGCTGAATGATTTAGATGGCCATGCATTTGAAACATAAAAAGTTACTTATGAAGGTTCAGTAAATATTGAGGAAGCTAAATTAATGTTGCCCTTCATTCCAAACAGGATGAAATATATAAGTGGGATAGGTATGGTCATGATTGTGAGACAAAACCTGGAGTACTGTGTACAGTTTTATTTATGAGAGGACATAATTACATCAGAGTTTAGAAAAATGAGCAATGATTTATTGAAACATGTCAGATTCTGAGGAGACTTGACAGAATGGATGTGGAAAAGATGTTCCCCCTTTTGGTCAAATCTAGAACTAGAGAGCATAATTTCAAAGTTGCCTATTGTTCCTTTAAAACAGAAATGCTGAAGAATTTCTTCTCTTAGGATCTCATGAATCTTTAGAATTTTTTTTATTCAGAGAGTGCTGAGGGATGAATTATTGAATATATTCGGTATATATGCTGAGTTGAACAGAATTTTAATTTACAGGGGAGTCGAAAGCTAAGGGGTAGATGCAGGAGAGTGGATTTGCAACTATGCTCATATTGATTGGTACAGTAGTTTCAAGAGACCCTATGAGCTACTCCTGTTTCTATTTGTTGCAATCTAAGGGTAGCCTGTAACCCCACCCCAACTGTGATCTCCTCCATGACCTTCTAACTCTCCCTGATCTTACCATTCCTCCGTGATCTTTTCTGCCTATGACCCCCATCCACACCCAATGATCCTTTCCCCAGCATCTCCTTGCCCCACGACCACTTTCGATCTTGTTCTATTCCCATTCCCTTCAATCTCTACTTACACATTACTGATACAGTTCACAGTTTGGTTGCTGAATTCCTGTTTCCTGTCAGTCAGGCTGCTGTGAGTGACAAAATCTGGAGAATCACATTAAACAGGACCTGGACCCAAACCTCCATGGCCTTTCAGAAACGTGCTCTTTCAGGTTTCCCAACCATAACTCCTCTCACAGATTCAAACTTGTGCTTGGGTGCCTAAAGGCCCTAAACGAGAGTGAAGGAGATACTGTATATCTGAAAAAGAGAAAGCAATGCAGGCAGAAAGAATCGAACAAGAAAGGAAGAAAGAGCAAGACAATGAAAGTAGACATAAGGCAACCTGAGAAGAGTTGAAGTCTAAATAATAGGTTAATAGAATAACATGTTAAATTTCATATGTAGTTTAAACAATTTTTTTTGCTTAAACAATCATTAAATTTAAACACAGATATTGTCACTCATATAGAAGAACTTTCTTTGGTCTCAGGCAGTTTCATTCTGTGATACAGTGGTAGCAATTTCCCTGTTCTCATATTTTCACAATTTGAGAGATTGAAACAACAAGACGAGGTCCTTTATTTTTGCACTGCTTCCTTCCCTTTCTGCTCTCCCGAAAGTGTATCCACTCACACATGCTTTTCAACTTATCATCTCACCTAAGTGGTCATCTTATCCAAGCCTGGAGAAAGACTCCAATGGGTCAGTTAGTGTGGAAAAATAATTCCTTCCCATTTCCATCCCTGATGAAATTTTAACTTACCAGTTGGATCACATGTGTAGGTACAACTGATTATGACCTTAATAACATTTTGATCAATTAACAGCTCCAATTGCCACCTAGAGTTCCTGCTTGTTGTTATACTTCAAAATGCTTATATTCAGCAATGTTGGGATGATTATTGACTGATGTCATGTACAATCAAATAGACTGGTACCAATTGATACATCAATTGACATGGGAAAAATGACCCTTCGAGTTAAGTACTGAACAGCGCTCAACCTGCGGAAATGAACGCCACAAGAATCAGAACTTTGGGAGAAGAGAAAGGTTGAGACAAAATAAATTCAATTTTGAGCATGTTTTTGTTGTGCCGAAAGCATTGAAATTTGGACTCACCTACTTTGGTTGCCATCCTGCCGCAAACAGCGCAGATTAAACTCAGCGTTGCAACCTCTACATTTATACTGATTGAAACTAATGTATTTGCATAGACACGCCTACACAGGAGTTTCAGCAGCCTGCTCAGCGCTCACACTTGAGATTCTTGGTAATTTGATATTGGTGCTAAGACAGAAGTGACTAAACATTTTATTTTTAGAATTGCTATTAACCCTTTAAGTTCTGCAATGATGATTGCTACCAGTGAGGGCAAAAGAGAGATGATACGAATGGGCAAAAGGAAGTGAAGGAATGTCTGAGTGTTGACAGTGAACAAAGAAATGGTCACCTTCCAATAGGCAAGGGTTAAATTGCACGTGTGTAAATACACAGAGTATAGTGAGCAAAATTAGCAAAATTCCTGGAAGCCGGAATTGTTCTTGGGGGATATGACATAGTAGCACTGACAGAAATATGGCTAAAGCCAGAACAGGACTGGATACTTAACATCCTGGATTATAATGTTTATAGTAGAAACAGGGTAGGTAGAAGGGAAGGAGGTATAGCAGGCTTGGTCAAAGCTAATACCATTGCCCTTGACCGAGATGCAGTTCCTGAATTAAAATCAATATGTATGGAGGTGAGAAACAGGAAGGAAGCAGTGACCTTGCTGTGTATTTGTTACAGACCTCCAAGTAGTGGGGAGAAGTAGAAGAGAGCATTTATTAGCAGATTATGGAAACCTGAAGGACAAGAACAGTTGTGACAGTAGTTATTTGAATTACCATAGGGTAGCTGGGAAAAAAAGGTAGACAGTGGGATACAGAAGGGGACGAATTCCTGCATTTTGTGCAGAAGAACTATCTGCAACAGTAAATTTCCAGTCCTATCAGAAATGACGGAAGGGGGAAGGAAGCTCTGAAATAAATAGAGAGGGCTGGGGAAGGTAGGTGAGATGGTGATAGGTGAGTGCAGGTAGGGAGTGGTGGGAATTGGCCAGTGAGGTGGGAGGAGCGGACAGGTGGGAGAAGATGGACAGGTTGTGTCAGGTCAGGGAGGCGGGGATGAAAAGGAAAGTTGTTCATGGGATGAGGACGAGGGTGAGGAGATTTTGAAACTGGTAAAATCCACATTGAGACCATTGGGTTGTAGGGTCCCAAGGTGGAATATGAGGTACTGCTCCTCCAGTTTCCGGGTGGCGTCATTGTGACACTGGAGGAGGCCCAGGATGGACATGTCACCCAGGGAGTGGGAGGGGGTGTTGAAATGGTTCAGGACCAGAAGGTGTTGTTGTTTGTCACGAACAGAGCACAGGTACTCTACAAAATGGTCTCCGAGCCTCCACTTGGTCCCACCGACATAGAGGAGGACACATCGGGAGCAGCGGATGCAACAGACCACATTGACGGATGTGCAGGTGAACCTCAGTCTAATGTGAAAGGTTTGTTTGGTGCCTTGAATAGAGGTGAGGGGGTTGGTGTAGGGCCAGGTGTAGCGCTTCCTGCGTTTGCAGGGAAAGGTGCCGGGGGTGGGGGCTAGTGGGGAGTGTGGAGTGGACAATGGTTTTGCGGAGAGAGCGGTCTCTATGGAAGACAGATAGAGGTGGGGAGGGAAATTTATCTTTGGTTGTGGGGTCAGATTGTAGGTGGCGGAAATGGCAGAGAATGATATGTTGGATACGGAGGTTAGTGGGGTGATGTGTGAGGACAAGGGGAATTCTGTCTTTGTTTTTGTTGGGGGAGGGAATGTGAGGGCAGAGGTGCGGCAAATGGAAGAGATGCGGTTGAGAGCTTTTTGACCACTGAAGGGGGGAGCTTGCTGTCCTTGAAATAAGAGAACATCTGGGATGTTCGGGAGTGGAACGTCCCATCTTGCGAGCAGACATGGCGGAGGCAGAGGAATTGGGAGTAGGGTATTGAGAGTAGAGTATCCTTGGGATGTGAATAGAGGCATAGAGGATAAAAGCAAGGAAGTGAGGCTACAAATCAGTAATCAAACCACATTTGGAGTATTGTGTTCGTTTCTGGGCATCTTATTTAAGGAAAGATGTTAAAGCCCAGGACAGAGTGCAAAGGAGATTTACTAGAATGAGGGATTTTAGATACATGAAAAGATTAGAGAAATTTTGCTTATTCTCCTTTGAGCAGAGAAGATTAGGTGGTGACTTCATTGAAGTGTTCAAAATTATGAACAATTTTAACAGGGTAAAGAAGGATATTCTGTTTCCATTCGGTCATATGTCAGTAACTAGGGATCACAATTTTAAGATTGTCAGCAAGAGACTTAGAAGTGAGATGAAGAGAAATTTCTTTACTCAGAGAGTTGTTAGGATTTGGAATAAGCTGCCTGGGAGAGTGGTAGAGGTGGATTCATTGGAGGCTGCAAAAGAGAGCTGGGCGTATATTTGAAAGTGATAAATCTAAAAGGCTACAGAGATTGGACTGAAGAATGGGATTAGCTGACCAGCTCTTTCAGGAACCAGTACAGACACCATGGGTCGAATGGCTTCTTCGGTTCTGTAAAATTAAAATTCTATGATTCTATTTTTATTTTCGAGTCCTTCCGTTTTCTTATGCTTATGTTGTGGCCTAGATTCAGGGACAATTGCAAATGTAAATAAGAAATGTGTCACTGGAATAAATTGTTTTAGAAGAGAATGCTTGGAACCATGATAGGAAATTTTTACTCACTACATTTGGAATTTAAAAAGTAATGAGGGGGCTAAGATGGAATTTTGACCTAAACTGCTGGTTTAGGTCTCATTTAGCACAAGGTACCATCAAGGAACTGAAACTGTAGGCGCCCAGAGAGGAGATGACAGACACTTGCTTTTGTCCATTCCCCTGTGATTATGTGATTGAATGGGGTATCATGAGGACTTTACCATTTTAGACTGACACACTACTGCCATTGTAAATTGTGGTGAAGTGAGTAAATGTTTGGGATGGTGGATGTGGTGCCAATGAAGAGGACTGGCAGGTGTCAAACTTCTTGAGTGTTGTTGGAGCTGCATTCATCCAGGCAAGTGGAAAGCATTTCACCAAATTCCTGATTTGTGCCTTGTAGAAAGTGGTCAGGCTTTGTAAAGAAGAAAAGTGAGTTATTCATTGCAGAATTCTTAACCTCTGGGCTGCTTTTATAGCCACAGTATGGATATGACTGGTCTGGTTGAGTTTCTTGTCAATAGTAACCTCCAGGATGTTGTTGTGGGGAGTCAATAATTATAATGCAATTGAATGACAAGAATGACAAGAAGCAATGGTTCTATTCTCTCTTGTTTGACATGATCATTGCCTGGCACTCATATGGCACAAATGGCAGTAGTAGCATGTATATCACCCTAAGCCTGGATGTTGGCCATATGGACACAAGTTGCTTCACAATCTGAGGAATTGCGAATTGTGCTGAACATTACACAATCACCGGTAAACATCCCCACTTTGACCTTATGATGGAGGGAAGGTCATCAATGAAGCAGCTAAAGTTGGTTGGACCCATGACACTGCCCTGAGGAACTCCTGTAGAAAGGTGCTGGAGCACTGATCACAACTATCTTCCTTTATACTAGTTATAAACTCACCTCTGGAGTTCAGTTTTTTTTGTCTGTGTTTGGACTAAGGCTGTAATGAGGTCAGGAGCTGAATGGCCCTGAGGAAACTCAAATTGAGGATCAGTAAGTAGGTTATTGCTGAACAAGTGCTGCTTGAAAGCGTTGTTGATGACCTCTTCTATCACTTTGCTATTGAAATAATGTTAGACAACCAACAGTACTCCCTATCATTTGTATGGCAACATTCCCTTTCGTTCAACGTGTTCTCCATATACCTATCCATATCTAGTTAGTGGTTGATGCAATGTCCACTTTTGTATGATTGCATCCCATTATTGCTAGATTCTGTGTTTACACAGGATGCTCTTTGATGTAAAATGTGAGTACTTATTGTTTCCTCATGTAGGAACTACGTTGCAAACCCCCATCAACAATTTTCCCAGTCCGTGTTCCCTCTATGAACACTTTAATTTTTTGGCTTAACACACTGTGGTTTGTCCTATTCATAGTGTATTATTCTGTATGCTATTATTCAAAATGCTGTTGAAAAGCAAATAACTGTAATCTCAACAG